GTGTCTTGACCTCTCCCTAAAGGTACCCAGCCGCGCTCGCCCCCTTGCCCCGGCGTTGCAGCGCCGGGAAGTGGCTTTGTGAAGCTCTGGGCTCCAGCGGCCGGGCGGTGGGCTGGGGCGCGGGGTGGGTGGGGCTGGGCGGGGCTGCGCTGTCTGGGCCGCTTTCCCTGTGAGGAAGAGGGTGGGGGCTGAGGGAAGCCGGCTCGGGGAGGAGGGCTGTCTCCCGGCAGCAGCTGGCGGCACCCCCATCCTCCATCCTCCTGCCTCCATGTGGTTTGAAAGAGGTTTTGTTCCAGAAGAAAGTTTGATGCTGAGACTCGAGGGTCCCCGAGGCCCGCCCCTTTAGAGAGAGGCAGGTCACCCTTGCCGGGGACGTCCGTGACCTGAATATGGGCATGCAGGAACCCATGCCACTTTCCGACCCGAGCGGCATTCCTGACGCAGGCTCTTGCCTGAGGAAGTTCCTCCCTGGGAATCCCCCTTGGGGAGAGGACTCTCCGGAGACAGGGCATCTAAAGCCCCCATATTGTGACTTTTGCAGCAGGTACTCAACGTCCCCGCGCGCTCTCCCCCTAGAATGGACGCTACCAAAATCTATGCCCTAAGGGCTGCAAAAATTTAAGTCTGCCTTACCTTCTGATTAAAGATCCCTAAACAACGTGTCCAAGGTGCCAGTGACTACTTCTGACAAATCTTGAATATTTTCTTAATGCCGCATGCTTGCAGTTGGCTTTCCGTGAGTGCTGGGACGGGGCTGAGAAGCACGTGAAAGGTAATAGAAGTTATGGCCCAGCTCTTTAGGGGCAGAGGTGGGGAGAGAAGAATATAGGACACATATACCTACTTGAAAACAGGAGAAAGTTTCAGCCTTCAGAACAAGATGGATTCGGGGATTATCTGCTTTACAAAATCTCCTCTAATGCAGAGAAATAGAATTCGCATTGAGTTTTACACAAGTTTTGTAGGAACACATCTATCATAAAGTGGCTCAGAGTCGAGGTAGTAGTGTGGACATCATATGGACTTGAAATTAACAGATCTCAACAAGTGAATGTTGAATTCTGTTAAATTCTAATCCACCTGATACTCTTCTGATCACACACGTGGATTCTCGCAGTTTATGTCTTTTTTACCAAGAATATTCATACATAAAACAACTTCTCAATACCAACTTTTGTACCCTGGAGACACCCTTAGCCAAGAACATCTTTATGATTTCTGGACCGTATGATTTACCCCCCACACCAGGTCACATTGCTTCTGTAAGAACATTTACATCACAAAGAGAAGGAAACCTCAACAGTCAATGGGGACACAATATATTGAGCACACACTATGTGCCAGATACATTACTAGGTGTTTTATATATATTACAACTTCTAATTCTCACAGTCACCCTGGTGAGGTAGTATTACTATTTGGGGGTTTAAAGAGTTTTACATCTTGTCAAGATTATATGTCAGATGATAGAGGTGGGATTTGAATCTGGGTGTGTTTGACCCTCTGCCCGTGCTCTTTTCCACCACACTATGCTGTCTCCCAGCCCCTCTTGAGAGAGAGTTTCCTGTGTTATGATGTAGTAGGAAATCCAAATACGGCAACATACACTGCATCTCCTGGTCCTAGATCAGATCCCTTTATATAGTATCGTCTCCCTCTGGGGACCCAGCACTGAATGCCCATGCCAAGCAGGTATTCCCTTCACTAAAGGGTGTCATCAGGGACTCCACAGACTCCTCCCCGACACCCGCAGTCCCCAAGATGGAAATCAGATGGAAATCTCCAGACATACAGACTTCTTGCTCTTCCAGATAACTTGGTTCCAGAAGACAGGTTACCAAGTGTTTCCCTCACTGGCACTTGAGGAGCAGTCTCTCCCTCTCGGCCATTCAAGTCTATTTTACGTCTATTTTAAGCCTGCACATATACATACACCCCACCAGTTGGCAGCAACCCTGCAGAGTTCACACTGACACGCTTATCCTCCTGTACCAACTGTCAGAGAATTTCTAACACAGCCCAGCCTACTTAAAATGAAAGACCGACACAGATCACTGGGGAGCGTGGTGTTCGTCCAGGGAATCTCTGGATTCTCTACTAGTGACCAGAAAGGAAATTAACCTCTAGCCCTAGGAGCAGGCAAAGTCCACGTATGCAGCCTGTTGTCAGCACTAGTGAAGACATGCATTCACCATATAGAAATGCTTTTATCTGTTGTCTTCGTGATGGATGTGGCCACACACATATTTTGGATTTGATTAGTCACCTTCACGCTGAGGCAGTTGTCACTTGGCTGAAGGGTATCAGAAACTAGTGTCACAGTTTTGACAGTAAGTTTTGAAGCTGTGCCTAAAAAATGTGTATATTATTATAATCTATAGCCACCGTTTTATCATTTTTCTTCCTAGTGGTGTGTGTGTATTCTCTCTCTTGGTACAGTCTTCAGCTCTCTCTGGTTCCAAAATGATTTGCAGTACCCAGGCTAAAAAGAAATAAATGCATTTTGAGCTGTGACCATATGCTGCTGGAAGCATGTCCCTGTAGTTGGCATCTTTCTCATGTTACTCTAGTGCTAAGAATCTGAAAGTCCCGTATGAATGCTTTGGGATCTCAAATGGGCTCTCCTGTCTAATTATTTCACTCCATCCCCTGAAGCAGTGGTAAGTAGGGTTTGAGTTTAGAATACAGCCCTGGCACCTCTCCTCTAATATCTCTAAACTGCCAGAAACTGGAGCAGCACTAATTAAAGTCGGGAAAGTAGAACATGAGGTCTGCTCATTGTCATTCTTGCACCAGAATGGAAAATGTACCAAAACATTTTGGGGGATAAAGACTAAAGCAGACTTCTTTAAATGACTGGGGATCTACAGAACTATACCAAGTCATCGACATCGTAGAGTTTGCCTGAAGCTGGGTGTCTGCAAATACCTCAGTAACCTAAAACTGTCCAGTATCAACAGACTTCCACTCTGCGTTCTAGCCTGTTTTTAGAACTTCTCATTAGCTAGCAATCTGTCTTTATTTCCACATTTCATCAAATCTAAAATATCATCAGCTGTAAGACATAGCATTATTTTTGTTATACGGGAAGAAAGAGAAAATACTGCCCACGAGATTATGACATGCCACTTTAACAGGGGTCATCCATGACACTGCGTGAATCTGTCACACTAGCCTCTCATTGCTTTCAAGGTTCCTCCGTCTCTTCTGTGGCTTTTGGTACTTTCCTCTGCTGGTGCCTTCAGTAGGTACCTTCAGAAGCATTGGTTATGGTGTGATAGGCAATGCTTTGCCTACATCTTAGTTACCAGCTAACACAGATTCATCTTCTGTGTTTTCCTTCAGTCTGGTGAAGCATTTGGATTTTGTGCTGCAAGGTAATGTGGAATTGCCAAGGACAAATGCTTCCTTTAGTGATATAACATTTATGCCCCACTGCTCTGTTTGATTGGTGCATACACAGTAATATCTTCAAGTGCCAAATCATAGTGTAATCTTTTTGAAAGCCATTTAAATGGCGATTAAACAGAACATGTGTAGTGCCAACAATGCCTCTAACTTAGTAGATATGATAACAAAATGAATAGCTGTGACCAAGTTTATGCAAATACAGGGAAATGGCAGTTGTGACTATTGCCACGTTGTCATCAATTTTAAGATACCATCAGTATTAAGACACAGTCTGATTTCAGAGATATTAAAATGTGCGGGAAAATGAACCTTAATGAAATAAGCTAATCTGTGCCCACTTAGTTCCCTGAACTCTTAACCTGCCTACCTTCTTGCATGTATTCATTCATTCATATAGTCATTCATTTTGTTAAACTCCAAGCTCCAGTTGGGCAAGGATATTTTCTCTCTTGTTCTTTACCATATGCTGACCACTTAGGACAGTCACTGACACATGGTTAAGCTGCTCAGTAAATAACCTTAGAATAAATGAGTGAATATCCCCCTTGGAAGTCTTGGAGACGCATCAGGCAGCTCACTACTCTCCTGACAGTTAGGAAACATATTCTTAAAATTATGACATTGACAGAAAGGCCAAACATAGAAAAGGAATACAGGCCAGCATCAAGTCCTTGATTTTATTTGCAAAGCCCAATCCGAAATATTTCATGGCATTGCAAAACTAGTTTCTGGTAGAAGAAATTCCAGTGTGGCTTTTATTGATCTTTGACCACTGAAGGAATTTATAACAACTTATATCTTCATTCTTTTGTATGATCCAAAATCGTTAATTGCTTGAATTTCATACTTAGTTCAATTTCATATATTTGTCCGATTATAGATGTAGCATGTACCAGATGACAAATAGCCCTTCCTTCAGTAGGCTCCTCTGAAACAGCAACTTAGTGATGGTGAGCTTGTCTGGATATACACACACTCCTCCAAGAAAATATATATCTACTTAAAGTCCTTGTCTTATAGTGTGCTTTGTAACTCCCCAAAAAGGCCATCTTTACATTTTGGCATCTGACAAAAAAAAAGAGAGACAAGCAAAACGCAAAACCAAAAACCAAGGAAAAAGAAAAGAAAGAAAGGAAAAAGATAAGAAAGAAAGAAAAAAGAAAACCCTGATGGGCAAGACAGACCTCCATCTGCCAGTGCCTCTGCTTCCTTATTGCTCCCTGGTGGTCAAGCAGAGTGCACTTCCAGGTCAAGGACAGGGAGCTGGATGAAGATGCCAGCAGAAGGAAAGGCAGAGGAGTTTACGTAGCCTCAAGCCCTGGAGCTGTCCTGAGGATCGAAGTCAGTTAGCATTGTCCATGGTCTATGAACACATCATAGCTGGACCTGCAAAGACACACCTAGATTCCAGTCCAGGGAAATGCGGGACCTTTGACACATGTAATAAACAAAGGTCACTCGTGGGCTTCTAAGATTCGTTTAGTCTGCTTGTTCAGGGAGAGGGTAAGTGCCATGGGCAGAAAGTCATTCCTGCCTCCCCTACGTATGGGTGTAGCGAGGTGGCATGGGAGCGGTGCTGAGAGGGGACCTGCCAGATAGTCCACAGCCAGC